GAGGGGAGTGAGCGCCGAATCCGCCCGACGATTCGACACTGATTCTCAATGGCTCAGTCTTCGCCGGCCGCTTGCCTCGACCCCGAGGGGCGGGCTCGGGGCGTACTCGGCCGCTCGCGCGGACTAGCCGCGCGGACGAATTGGTGCGAAGCGCCGCGGGATACGTGTAAAAAAACCATTGCGGCACGCGATCGCACCTCCTCCTCCTCCTCCTCCTCCTCCTCCTCCTTCCTCCTCCTCCTCCTCCTCCTCCTCTCCTCCTCCCCCTCCCCCTCCTCCTCCTCCTCTCCTCCTCGCCCCTCCTCCTCGCACGCGATCGCACCTCCTCCGCCTTCTCCTCCTCCTCCTCCTCCTCCTCCTCCTCCTCCTCCTCCTCCTCCTCCTCCCCGTAACCATTTTGGCTCAAGCCATTTTGGCTCAAGTAAACCATTTCTCGAAGTGGTTTGCAGAGACCAGGGGCCTGCCCAGCAGGCTCGGCCCGCGCATCAGGGGTCTGCTGGGCAAGGCAGGCGCCCTCACATTTTGTATACGCTCCGAGGAGCTCCTGTATCGTACTGGTTGGGCAGGAGATCAGTTCTTCACGGCCGCGCATGGGGCGCAATGAGAAGGATGATCAGCGGACTGGAAGCCAGTACGAGAAGTGCAGGGGATGTGGGTATAAGTGGAACTGGGGCACCAGGTCTGAGTGCTACAAGTGCCAGAGGGGACTGCAGCCAGCCACCTCACAAGAGCGAGCCTCGCAGGGCACCTGGGGCCCCAGCGGTGCCTCTTCGCGGGGCCGCAGTCGCCCATCGGTCAAGCAGAACCGCGAGGAGCTTCTCAAGCAGCTGCGGGCCACCATCCCCGACGGCGACGCAGAGGCCGCCCAGCACCTCGAGGCGCTCGCCCGAGTGCACACTACAGAGGTGCACCCAGACTTTGCCCTCAACCAGGACCAGGCGCGGCTCCGCAGGGCCGAGGCAGGGCTCAAGAGGACCATCGACAGCATCTCCGAGGGCGAGCGGTTTCTGCAGGACCAGAAGGAACTGCGGGAGAACTGGATCCACGAGGTCGCCGACGCGGAGGCGGTGGTCCAGGAGGCCTACGCTAGAGCGGCGCCCAAGGCCGTCGCGCCTGTGGAGGCGCCCACGCCAGCCCTGGACCTCTCGCAGCTGCTCGAGGGCGACCTGGACATCCTCAGCGTGCGGCCGGGCAAGGCCTTCGACCTCGAGGGGCTCGACATCCCGCCTGAGGAGCACCGCCAGTTCGAGGAGCAGATGGGCCAATTCGTCAAGCAGGTCCAGACGGAGGTCAAGAGGCACTTCGGCCCAACGGCGGAGGGGCTGGCCGCGATGCGAGCGGACCTCCAGGCCTTCAGCGACAGGCTCAAGAGCAAGAGGGCTCGGTCGGAGCCCCCCCCCCGCCAGAGGCCGCCGCAGCTCCCGCCGCAGCGGCACCAGCAGGCAAGGCGGCAGGCAAAGGTGGCGCAGACTACAAGCAGCCAGGGGCGGCCGCGCCCAAGGCAGCCCCCGCAGCGGGGCCAAAAACCCCTCCCCCTGCTGGCGCTGACGGTGCTCGCGGCGCTGCTGCAGCCAGCGGAGGCGGCGCGGCAGGCACCACTGCTCCTGCGGGGGCCACGGGCAGGACTCCCAAGCGCGAGCTGGCACAGGACGTCCGAGCCAGGATCCTGGAGCGGGCTGCCGTCAAACCCCCAGGGGCGGACACAGACTCCAGCGACTGAGGGGCCAGCCCCGCAAGGCTGGCGACGGTGGCGCCAGCGCCCACGCCGCGGTCGGGGCAAGGCTGCCGCGCGAGGGCGAGGAGCGCCAGCCGTTCCTCACGACATCGACGGGGTCGTGGAGACCCCCACCACCTCTACGAGCACTACCACTACAAGGGGGGCGCCTCCTGCGCCCGACCAGAAGGAGCTGTCCCGAAGGGCGGGCAGGCGCTGGCAGCCTGGGCCAACGCGGGTCGCCTTCATCGTGGGGACGTGCGACCACGTCCCAGCCATAGAGGAGGGCCTCGACATCCTGGACGGGGACGGCGACAGCTCCTCCTCGAGTACCTGGGCACGGAGGGCGCTCAGGGGAGCGGACACGCTCCGCCGCCAGCAGCTCGCGCCGTGGCTCCGACGGCTGGGCGGCAGCTCAGCCTCGAGCATAGCCGCGGATGCCACGGAAGAGGCCCCAGAGGCGCAGGTGTGGAGAGCCGCAGATGTGCGGGTGGCCGAAGCCTCTCCCCATGCGCCCCTCTCGCTGATGCCGCCGACAGGCGGGTGGTCGAAGCCTTCAGCGATGAGCTCGTGGGACGGAGAGCCGCAGACGTGCGGGTGGTCGACGCCTCTCTGCACGAGCGCCCCCAGCTCAGCTCCCCTGACGAGGGGGTGGCCGATGCAGCCCAGCAAGGGAGAGGACTACTGGAGGCCTCGGTCACGGGGCAGAGGGTGGCGCGCCAAGCCTGGCATGGGTGTCAGCTCAGCCTCGACTACGGCTACTGATGCCTCGGAGGAGGACCCAGTGACGCATGATAGGAGAGCCGCGGATGCGCGGGTGGTCGATGCCTCTCCACATGCGTCCCTCTCGCTGATGCCGCCGACAGGCGGGTGGTCGAAGCCTTCAGCGATGAGCTCGTGGGACGGAGAGCCGCAGACGTGCGGGTGGTCGAAGCCTCTCGACACGAGCGCCCCCAGCTCGGCTCCCCCGACGGGGGGGTGGCCGACGCAGCCCAGCTGGGGAGAGGAATACTGGGAATCCCGACCGCGAGGCAAGGGGCGCAAGGCAAAGCCCGACATGGACCTCAGCTCAGCCTCGAACACGGCCACAACCGCCTCGGAAGAGGCCCCAGTGGCGCATGAGTGGAGAGCCGCGGATGCGCGGGTGGCCGAAGCCTCTCCCCATGCGCCCCTCTCGCTGGTGCCGCCGACAGGCGGGTGGTCGATGCCACCAGCGATGTGCTCGCGGAACCGAGAGCCGCAGACGTGCGGGTGGTCGACGCCTCTCGACACGAGCGCCCCCAGCTCGGCTCCCCCGACGGGGGGGTGGCCGAAGCAGCCCAGCTGGGGAGAGGGACACTGGAGGCCCAGATCTCGAGGCAAGGGGCGCCACGCCAAGCCTGGCATGGTGCTCAGAGGCCTCAACGGCAGCGCCTGGGGCACCCTCGTCGACCACTTGGACGAGATGCCGCTGGGCAGAAACACCATCATGCTGGTGCAGGAGCACCGCCTCACCAGCGACTACGTCGGCGAGATTAGTGCCAGCTGTTTCCAGAGGCACCCCACCGTCGCCCTCGCACCCGCAGCGGTGGGGCCAGGGGGCGGCAGAGTGGCTGGGGTGGGGATCGTCGCCCCACGTTGCGTGGGCCTCACCTACCTCGAAGGCGTGGACACCTTCGACTTCTCGCCGCCAGGATCGCCAGGAAGGCTGGCGGCGGCCTGGACTCCTGGGTTTCTTCGAGGAGGCCTCATGGTCCTCAGCGCCTACTTCTGGGTCTCCGAGGGCTGGACCGTCCGCAACCTGTCCATCTTGGACGCCATTGGCGAGCTCGTGAGGGCCTACGACATCCCATGGGTCCTCCAGGCTGACTTCAACAACACCCCCGACACGCTCACGGCCACGGGGTGGGTGGCCGACGTTGGGGGCACCATCTTCTCATCGGCCGCCCCCACCTGCCAGGGCAAGGGGGGCGGAAGAGTCATCGACTACTTCGTGGTGGACACGCGTATCGCGTCAGCCTTCGGTGCAGCGGAGGTGCTCGACGCGCCCACCGCCCCGCACAGCCCCGTCGCCATCACGACGGAGAGGTCACTGCGGGAGCGGCTAGGCTGGAGGCTGGTCAATCCTCGGGCTTTCCCGACTCGCCTCCCCGTGGGCTGTCGGCGGGAGCCTCCAGCATGGCCGATCCTCGACAGTGGAGCAAACTACAGCGACGCCGAGCTGGAGGAGCTGTGGGCGGGGTTCTCGGCGGCGGCCGAGCACGACCTGCAGGGCATCCACGACCTCGTCGGCGAGGCCGACTACACGGGCAGGGGGGGTCACCCCCGATGGGCCAGAGCCCCGATCGCAGGCCCAGAGGCGCATGCGAGGCCCAGGGGCACCACGCGCTCCAGGGCATGGCGCTGGGTGGCCAGCCGTGTCGGGGACATCGTCTGGCTGGCGCAGGCGGCCCGTCAGGGGCGCGACTGGCAGCCGTACGCCGACCAGTGGCGGCGCCTGCGCAGGCGCCTTCACCACGGGGCAGCCCGCTGGTGCGACGCGCTGGGTGACGACGCCAAGGCGGTGCACGCCGAGCTCCTCGCGCTGGGCGGCCTCACCTGGGACGGCGACGCGCTCTGGGAGGATGCCCCCAGGGCGATGGAGCTGCAGCGTCGGGCCATGCAGCAGGCCCACGTCATCGAGCAGGGACTCCGAGACCAGAGGGCCAAGGCGTGGCGCCAGAGGCTTACGGACGGCTCACAAGGAGGTGCAGGCTTCGTCCATCGCATGTCGAAGTGGCGCCAGGGGGTCGACCCTACGCTTGGGGCCCGAGGGCGCACCAACCTGGACATGACGTGCCCTCAGGCCGCGGTCGACCTGGAGGCGCTGAAGTGGATCGACCTCTGGACCTCTCACGGCGCCCAGAGCCGAGGCGAGCTCCCACGCCCCTGGGAATCGGCCACTTTCGAGCATAGCATGGTCGAGCCGACGGCGGACGACATCAGGTCCATATGCAAGGCCTTCCCAGAGCACACGGGGGTCGGGGTAGACAACTGGCACCCCAGGTGGTTCGTCAGCTTGGGGGACGAAGGGCTTGCCTTCCTGGCAGCCTTCGTCGCATACGTGTCGCGCACGGCCAGGTGCCCCCCCCCCCCAGCTGCGCTACGTGATGTACTTCCTGCTGGCCAAGCAGGGTGGGGGGACTAGGCCCATCGGCCTCCTCACCACGGCCGCGCGGCTGGTGGAGCGCGCGCATTCGCATCAGCTCCATGACTGGGAGCGGGAGATTCGACGAGACTACGACTTCGCGGCGCCAGGAGGGGGCCCAGAGGAAGCGATTTGGCAGCAAATGTTGTTCGACGAAGGGGCCCAGCCTGGCGAGGTAACGGCTACGGCGGTCCTAGACCTAGAGAAGGCGTTCGAGCATGTCACAATGCACTTGCTTTGGGCCGAGGCGCCCAAGCACCAGTTTCGGTTGCAGCTTTTGAAGCTTT